TGGGCTGAACCAGACCAACAGGAGGGCGCTGCATGATCTGGCGAGATGTTTCAGGAGGCAGTTTAGGAGACGAAGTCAACGTGGAGTGCGACAAGCTGGTGCAGTGCAGAGCGACCTGCTGCAGTGCTTCGACGCGGAGGTCGTGAGGCCAGCGGCGGCGACGTGCGCCGCCTCGGGCAGGATCATCGATTTCTTCCTGGTCTCGCGGGAGATGCAGGTAGTCAGTGTGCAGGTGGTACTTGGATCGCCTGTGTTTCCCCATTCGCCAGTCATCCTGAAGGTCAAGGCTCTTGGAGTACGGCCATGGTTGCAGATCGCGCAGGCGCCCAAGCTCTTCCCCATTGTGAGGCCGTCGGGCTGCTGCAGGTCTGACCAGGATGCCAAAAGGGCTCAAGTAGGGCAGTCAGCGCAGCGAGTGCTTGATGGGGTGCGTGGTGATGGGGGAGGAGACGCGTGCATGGCGGGTCCGCCCACGGCGATGACGGTGGCCTGGCGCAGGTCCCTCGCGGCAGCGGAGCAAGACTTGGTGGGCATTTTTCATTTTGAAGGACATGCGCATCGGCGCGTCGGGCGCTCCGAACGCGCGGTCACCAAGTGGGTGCGGCAGACGGCAGTCAGAGGGATGCGGTCGCCAAGGATCACGGCTGAGGCGGCATGGTTGGCCAGGGTGGCCGACTGCCCGAGGGCGGCGGCGCAGGGCCAGAGGCCCGAGGAGGAGGCGACGGCGTTGAGGGGCCTTCCCCGTCTGGCGCGAGGCGCGCCGCAGCGGCCCCAGGCCATAGAAGAGAAGGGGCAGGCCTCCAGCGCCTATCCTGCCGTGGGCTGGGCTGGAGCCGCGCTGCGGTGGTGGGGGGTAGTGCAGGAGGAAGAGGTTAGCCGCGCGCCCGCCGTGGCGTTGCGCTGGATAACTGAGCAGGCACACGCTGATGCTCTAGCCTTGGCGCAGCGGGACCTTAAGGATAGAGGGCGGCAGTTCGACGAGTGGGCGCAGCTGCAGCTGCGAGGGGGAGCAGGAGGGCTACGCGCCATCACGCGCGCGCCCATCGGTTGGCAGGACAGCCCAGCTGATCAGGAGCAGGCGGGGGGCACACCAGCCAGCCAGGAGGTGGAGGTACGCCAGCTGGAAGACGAGTGGCGGGGACTTTGGAGAATCGAGAGCGAGCAGGTCAGCGCGCGTTGGCCCGAGGGCCTGGGCCAGCGCCCTCCCAGGCCTTCAGTGGGCGAGCTGAGGAAGTGTCCGAGGACCTTCCGGCACGGCGCAGCAGTTTCCTTCGTTTCAACTCGGCCGAGGCAGCTGCTGGGGCTGTGCGATGGGGCTCTGGAGACGCTGACCGACACCCTGATGGGGGTGGAAGGAGCAGCGGGGTGGCCCAGCCTCACCACCAAGGCGTGCTTCCGTGCGAAGCGGCTTGGAGGAGTACGGCCGATCGCGATCATAATGGTGTCAGGCTCGCCCCGGGAAGTCCATCGCGCTGGATTGGGAGAAGCGCAACGACAGGCCCTTCTCCTGTGCCGCCCGAGGCCGCGGCTGTGAAATGGCGGCGTGGGAACGGGTGGCGGAGCGCGAGTGGGCGACGGCCAAAGGGGGCCAGCGTCGAGACCAAGAAGCGTGGGTGTCGGTGCTCGTCATGCTCGACCTGCTGAAGGCGCACGAGCAAGTACGTCACCACCGCCTCGTCGAGGCAGCGGACAGGACTGGCTTCCCGCTGTGGCAGTCGAAGCTGCAGATCGACCTATCGACCTGTGCCGCTCGCCCCGACGGTTGGCTCTCGGCGTGGAAGTGGGCGACGAGCTTCTGGTGGGCCAAGCGGTTTTGCCTGGGGGCGGGTTCGCCACGCTGATGCTCAAGATGCTGCTCTTTGCTCCGCTGGACGGGCTACGCGCGGCGCATCCGACAGTGGGGCTTACGGTCGCGGTTGACGATATCATCGCGAAGAGGACAGACAGCCTGGTGAGGACATTGCGTGAGGTAGGAGATGCTGTATTCAGGCTCAAGACGTCGCTGGGCGAGGCCCACTCGCAGGTCGCGACCAAGAAATCGCAAACCCTGGCGAATCACCCGAAGGCGCGAGCAGCAGCTGCGCGGCGCCTGGGCGTCTGAGGAGGCCGCTGGGCGTGATCGATGTTGAGCTGGAGCGGAGCCTGGGCGTCGACTTCAGCGGCGGCAAGAGAATATACAGAGCAGTGAGAGGGCAGCAGCTGCAGGCGGCGCAGCAGAGGTGGAGAAGGTTCGGAGTGCTCAAGACGGACAAGGTGAAGAGGAGGGCGGCCAGCAGGGTCGCCAAGGCAGGGCTGCAACCCAGCGTCGCGCATGGGGAGGCGGCGTCAGGCATGGCGAAGGGCGAGCTGGGCAAGGCGTTGAGCTTGGCCTTCTGCGCGGCGGCCCCCAGCGCGGCGGGCAGGTCGCGCGCGCTCTCCCGGATGATGCAGCCTGGCTTGGATCCCGTCATCCACGCGACGCTGGCACCCGTGATGATGTTTCTCCGAGCGCGATGGGGTGATTCGGTCCCGTCTCAAATGATGGACTTCTGCCTGTGCGACGACAGGGCCACGAAGTGGGCGCGTGTCCAAGGCCCGATGTCGGCTGTTGTGGCGACGTTGAGGCGCGTGGGCTGGCACGTCATGGACCGCGAGCGGTGGGGGTGCCACGATGGGTCGATCCTGAGGCCCTTCGACACCGCCCCCTGGGTCGCCCAGAAGCTGCTGCTGAGGGCCATCCAGCAGTGGCAGTGGCAGCATGTGGCCACCACGCCAGGCTGCGAGCACCTAGCCAGCGGCGGGGTCATTGCGCCGCTGTCGCGGCTCACGACGTCGGGCATCGTCAGCAGCGTGCACGAGTAGAGAGTGTCAGGGCAGAGAGTCAGCAGGAGGGTGAGGCTCACCGCGAAGGAGAAGGGCTACGTGGCTTCGCTGGTCACCAACTGGCAGTGGCCGCAGGCGAGGAAGGCGGACTCAGGCATGGTGGCATCAGACGCGTCTCTCCTATGTGGGATGAGAGGTACGCTGCTGCACAGGCATTGTGACTGCGACGCTTGGAAGGAAGTGCTGACTAAGCCGGCTGCGGCTTCCTCACTGAGGGCCAGATCGGACATGCAGGAGGTGACGCTGCTGCTAGAGAGGTGCGCGTGGCCAGCCCAGTTGGGCCTCAGCAGGCCCACGCCTACTAGCCGCATCTGCTGGCGTGGAATGCGCGACGGGGTCGTGCCGCCAGGGGGGACCTACTTGGGCGGGTCGGCCTTCGAGGTGGAGTTCGACGGCTACGCGTCCGTGGGTTGGAGCCTGGTGGCGCTGAAGCCTGATGGCGATGAGTACCTCATGTCGGTCGCGGGTCAGTTGTGTGAGCCGTGCGTGGACGTCAACGGCGGTGAGCCCATGGCCTTCATCATGCTGCTGCGGTTCGGGATGGCTCCCATCGTGGCGGTCGTGAACTCCAAGTGCGTGTGCAACGGGGTCATGGGGACTGGTCGAGCAGGCGCCACATGCTACTGCCACACGTGGGCGCACATCCGGTGCGTGGCCTGGGGCCGCATCGACGACTTCGGAGGCGTTGGAGAGGCTGGTGCGCGAGTGCGGCGGGTGCGTGCACGCCAGACTCAGCGACGGGTGCGCAATGGAGCGATCGCCTACCGTGGTTGGCTGGGCAACAAGCACGCGGACGAGGCAGCCAGGCCAGCAGCGGAGGCAGGAAGGATTGCGGCTGAGGATGGCGCTAAGCTGCAGGCCGAACGTAGCCTCGTTGACGGGGTAGCGATGTGGTACAGCGCTGTGGGCAGCTGGGCCCAGGGCAGGGACACGCGTCACAGGAAGGCGAATCCACAGCGCGCAGTGGAAGGCCGAGCAGCGAGGAAGGAGGACGCCAGCAACACATGCGACCTGCGCGGAGCTCCAGGTAAGCAGTGGTGCGCACACTGCAGGTGGCAGGGCAGGCAAGGCGAGTGCCCAGGCTCCATCCTGGAGGATGCGATGAAGGCGAACGGTGTGCTGAAGGCCCGTGGTCTACCAGCCCATCGTCTGGTGTGGATCGAGTCGCAGGTAGACGATTAGCTAGAGAGGAAGATGCCCCTGGTGGCGTGCCTCTGCTGCGGGGCTACTGACGCTGCGCGAGCCAGCAGCTTCACCAGGCGCTGCGAGCCGCCGACGCCTGCGGGCACGGCGGTGCTGGCGAGGCTGAAGAGCAAGCTGGCGCCCAAGTTGTCCAGTAGAGTGGCCGCCGAGGTGCGCAACCTCGTCGAGGGCGGTTGCGAGGCCACTGTTCCGATGTCCAGCCGGGCTGCCGTATGGAATCGCGGATGTGTGCCAGCTCATGTTGAGGAGGCTACGGACACGGATGTGGCGGAGGCGAAAGGCCTGGCTTCGGTGGCGGGCGGGCTGGTCGCAGCGGCTCCCAAAGGGGTGGAAGAGCCGCCAGAGCGGCGCCACCAAGGGCCCCTGCCGCGGTCTCACCGACCTGCAGGCGGGGGCGAGGAGGTGGCGGCGGCCGCCGCTGCGGCGACCGAGGAAGCGGTGCGAGGCAAGGTCGCGTCGCTCCTCGCGGCCTACTGCCGCGGCTGCGCCGCTGCGGGGCTGAGCGGAGCCGTGGGCGAGCGCACGCCCGCCCCAGGGGGCCCCCGTGGGGCCGAGCCAGGGCGGGTTGCTGGATTCGTCTCGGACACTGGCGGTGTGGGGCCCCTGGTGGTTTTCGCGGGGCCCGTTCCTGGGGTGCCGCCAGGCCCGGGGGCTTGGGGGTGAGTGCGGTCGTCCAGGACCCCGCGTTGCGGGGTACTGGGTGTTCGCATTCACGCGGCGTCGGGCGTCGGGTCTCCTCGTCGCCAGGGGCCGTGCCTGTGCACGGCAAGCTGGGCGAGACGGCGTGACGGTTCGCTTCAGGCCGTGCGCGTCCTCCTCCTCCTCCTCGTCCTCGTCCTCCTCCTCCTCCTCCTCCTCCTCCTCCTCCTCCTCCTCCTCCTCCTCCACCCCCCATCCTGGCGAGCGCAGTCGGCCCGTCGCCACTGCCGCCCGAGGCCGTCAGGGCCGCGCGCCTGGCGGCCTTCGAGGGGCACGCCGACCTCGCCCAGATGCAGCCCTTCCCAGTGCCCCTGGCGGGGAGGGAGGGGAGGGGAGGAAGGACAGGGACGAGGGAGGGGACAACTCACGACGTAAAGTGCTCGACGACTTTCGGCCTTCGTTGGCCCTTGCCACGCCCGGAACCGTCAAGAACTGGTCAGGACACAGGACGCAGAACAGATCCGGGTGAAAGGGGCGCAACACCCCAGGGTCCACGTGACAAAACCAAGACGTCGGAGGTCTTGGAGGGAGGGGTAAAGGGTGGGAGGGAAGCGGGCGGAGGAGGAGGAACGTCCGCCCGAGGGCCCTTGGAACACGAGGTCTTGGCTCGGGAGCAGGGGGAGGGTCTTCCATGGACCCCGCACCGAGAGAGTAGCAGCGTCGGGGCGCTGAAGAAGGAACCCTGTTCGCTGGGGAGGGGCTCGGTGCTCCTGGATTGTGTTACAGTTTGCCTGAGGTTTTCATTAGGTTTTCCATGGGCGATCGGGGTGTCACGGGAAAAAAAGGGGCCTCGTCCATTATTTCGGGTTCCTTAGGTCAATGCCCCGACTGTAGCGTCGGGGATCTGGGGGGGGACCCCTGCTGCAGCATTGTTGTGGCCGTGCCGGTGTCGGGCCTCGACGGATCCCCCAGCGCCTGCCGGACAGGAGGGCGGGGCGGGGCGGCGCGGGGAGGTCGGGCGGAGGAGCCCAGCTGTCTTGCACCGGCCCTGCGCGAGCGGCCGAGGTGCGGCTCCGCGTTGCGGAGTCTGCTTGTTCTTCTTCTACACATTATTATTCGCTCTCTTCTCTTCTCTTCTCTTCTCTTCTCTTCTCTTCTCTTCTCTTAGTATTCTTCTTCTCTTTTCTTCTTCTTCCTCTTCTTCGTTCGGAGTCTTCTACATCTTCTTCTTCGTTCTCTTCTTTTCTTCTCGGCGTCGAGCGATGGGAGGGCATGAGAAGGAGGAGGCGTTCTCGGGAGGCGGCGGGATTCCTCGTGAGCCCTCGCGCCTTCTGAGAAGTTTTCTGCGTCTTCGGGGAAGGCTTAGACAACTCCTCGGAAGGCTGGGGAGCTTCCGAGCCTCCTGAGAAGGCCCGCCCCTTCTCACTTCCCCCCTCGCTCGCCGCCGAGTCCTCTTTCTCTTCTTCATCCCCTCCCTCTTCCTGTTGCCAGCCCCGCCCCGCGACCAACCCGCGGCCCGCTGGGCGAGCCACCGCCGACCCGCCCCGCGACTAGCCACACGACCTGCGCCGCGACCCACCCGTGACTTGACAAGGGTAGGCGCCGGCAGCGGGCGGGGTTGGGACGAGGGTCAAGAAGTTCCAGAGCGTTCCGGAACACTCAGAGCGTGCACTCTCAGAGCGCCCCAGAACGCTCTGGAAAGGCCACGGCGCCCGGTACAGCCCTCAGAACCGCAGGATCTCAGAGACCCCCGTCATCCTGGTCCGATGTTAGCCTCGTCCTGCCTTCGTCTCATTCTTGTCCGCAGTTGTGCGGGACACGGCGAACGCATCCGGGAGGTTCGCGAGCTCTGCACCGCTTGGTACCTCCTGGCTGGCCCCTTCTGGCCGCGGACGGGCCCCTGCGGGAGGGCTCCAAGGACAGGGCTTCTCAGGAGGGGGAGGTCGGCACAGACGTAAATACATACATATAGATTTCAACGAAGACCTTGGAATAGATGGGAAATGAAGGGGAAGACGAAAATCCGTAAGATATGTAACAACATTCGGAATTCGGGGTTTTGTCTATGTGTTTGTGTCTCCCCAGGCGCCTCGAACAGGGTTTCAGCGGGGGCGGGGTGCCTAAGAAGGGACCTCCAGATTGGGGCGTCGTGAACAAAAATCGGGGCGGGCGCTTTCGGCAGCAGATCATGGGAGCATTGTATGCCCTTGCAATTCCGTTCTTAGACTGCACTCGCGTCGAGTAGCGACTTGTAATCGATGAGACAGCGCCAATGTTGCGTCGATTAGCGTCGAATTAGCGTCGACTCGCAAGAGGCAGCAAGATTGTATGGAAGGCTTTGATGAGTTGCCACCGAAGGTTTCAGTGGGAGCCGGGTGGCCGAAGGAGGGACCTTCAGATCGGGGTGTGAGCAAAAAACGGGGCGGGCGTTTCTGCCCCGGCACGTGCTGTGGGGCACTCGCTGATTCGATCGGGTCACCAGAGATGTTGGGGAAAGATTGCGTCGAGGGTTTCTGTCGTGATTGTTTCACGTGCTCGTTTTTTGCTCAGGACGTCGGATCTCGAGGGAGGGAGAAGGAGGGCCAGTTGAGACAGACATCGTCGGCCTTCCTGCTTTTTTTCCCCCTGCTCGCCGTCCATCCACCTCCCCCGATGACGTAAACAAAGTTTCTCTGGTGGTTTCGGTTTCGATTGCGGCACGAGGGACCATCAGCATGGTGAGGCTATCGCTTCACCCCAGGTAGTTCACGGTCGACCGGCCTGATAACAAAGTGCGACAATGTTCGCAGTTTCCAGACACATGGTTAATTTCTGATTCGAGGATGGATCGTTCTTGAAGTTGATTGGCGGTTTTGATCTCGACTCTGACAAGAGGGGAACCATCGGCGTGGTGGCGGGGATACTTGCACAATTCATGGCCGACCGTTCCGACGTGAGAGGCGACAGACTTTCTCGGGCATCTCGCCGAGCGAGCGTCAGGGCGAGGTGTCAGTACGCACGTTACTCCATCCCAGTTGCCAGAGGCGGGTGCTCAATCATCGGTTCATTGTATGCTTGACCATTTGAACCTGGGGCGAGTACGTTTACGCTCCTGGCATGGCGAGGTTCCCCAGTCGGGCAGGCCAGGGCAGCATCGACTTGCACAGCCGATGTATTCGACAGCTTTTCTGGGGGGACCGTGAGAATGTATGCACGAAAAACAAAGGCTGCATGTCCCTCCCTCATGTCCCACATCTCCGCCACTGCACCTGGGAAGACCGGATTTGGTCTCACTGACGGCACGTGCAGTGAATGCTTGCTTGTAGCTATTGTTGTTCATTGTTTTTCAGTTTTCGATTTTGGAGTGTTCTTGGTCTCGAACAGATATGTTCCTTCACCAATTCCTCTACGCGCCAACGAGCCCATAATCTAGAATGTGGTGAGTAGATGGTCGAGGAAACATGGGTTGGAGGTCATCCTGGGCGCGAAGTGGGACGTCCTTGCTGGAAACGACGCAGCGGCCTCAGCCATCTATCGAGCAGGGGGACGACGAAGAGGATGAGAACGAGGAGAAGGTCGCCTCAGCCAGCTCGCCTACGGGCCAGCACCTGTGAGTTACACTCTGGTTCGCTCCATTTCGCTGTGTTTTGGCAGCCGCGCGCGAACGCGCGTGATGCGTGCTCCGTCTGGCCGAGCGTCAGATTTGTTTTACTTGATCATGGTCGCTTTGTGATGTGTCTCCAGTCCTTGGGTCAGGCAAAGTGGTGTTGGGTCAAGCAGGCGAGGTAGGGGGGGCCCGACCTAACGAGATCCCGTCAAAGCGACCGCGTCAGGGAGTTCAATGTCGCCTGCAGGGCACGGCAGGGGCGTTGGGCAAGGCATTGTTTGCTTTTTCATGGAGGTTGAGACCTGGGAGCGTTCCTCTGCTGTACGGTCTTGGTTATAACAAACCACTGTTTTTGAAAAACAAGTTTTCGGAGGCTCACCCGCCACACCCGAATGCGCCCGAGAATTCCGGCAAATCGTGTGCCCAGGCTTTTTAGATTCGACCCATTCATCGAATTGTCATATTTGCGTGAGCTTTGGGGCACTCCACTGCGTACGCGAGGCATTGTCTTGGAGTTCAGATCCAGGAACTGGACAGGTGATGCTGCAGACCGGTTCTGCAGCCGTTGCAGCTTGCCGCTTGCGCTGGCCCTGGCGGCGCGCACAAGGGGAGGGCGGAAGGCGTCTTAGAAGGATGCTGTTCCTTAGAGGGCGCCGGCCCTGCATCTGCAGACAAAGCCCGCGCCTTCTAAGAAGCAGTCTCCTTTTAAGAAGCATTCCTCCCTCCCCCATGCCCCCCCCTCTGCGCGTTGCCAATCGCCTGCTTTGCAGGCCTGCGCGTCGCTGGGCCCGGGCGCACTGAGCTGTCCAGCGAGGGGGGGAAGAGGACGGGAGAAGCAGGCAGGCGCCCAAGAGCGCGCAGGTTGGAGGCCGTGGCCCGCAGATTCCAGGGTTCGCGTGGGGCCAACATCGCTGAACGGTTTCGGCCCTGGCGAGACGTTTAGGCTCCTTGCCTGACGAGTCCTTACTTATTTGGTGCCGGCATCGTAGTTCTAGGCCTCCCAGGTGCGGTCGAAGTAGGTGGGGTCGAAGGATGGCGCCGCATTATCGATGCATCGTCGATGCGACTCGATGTGGAGCCCGGTCTTCTCCATAGTAACGTCGCCGATGCATCACCGAAGTCCCTAATGCATCAGCGATGCATCGCCGATGCATCGCTGACGCATCGCCGGTGCGGCGCGATCCTCTGACCCCACCTACTTCGACCCCATCCGGGAGGCCTCTGGTATTGACGAAGTCGAGTGCGGAGTGATGGCCGCGACAATCACGTGCGCGTGGAGGTAAGGAGGCACCGCCAGGCGCGGCCGTCTGCCGAGGGGGCGCCTCGGAAGCGCTGCGGCAAAGCATCGCCCGCGTCAACGTCAGAGCTCCCCGACAGCTTCGACGTCGACAAGTCGTGCTGGGTGCCTCTGGGATTAGAAGAAGGAGAAGAAGAAGCAACTGCATAATCATAAACCCTCGACGGTCCGCACGGATTTGTGGATCTGCGCTGGAGCCGCCTTTTTTAGATCTGTGCTGGAACCCCCCTGGCGGCGCATCTGGCGCCAACCCTGGCGCGCTCCGCGCGCCAGGGAAGATCCAAGAAATTCGTACGGACCGTCGAAAGTTTATGTTTATTCACTTCTTTCTTCCTCAAGGGAGATGGTCTCGGGTTCGGGGTCCTCTCCTCGGAAGAACAGTGTTGCGAACACGCCGTTGTAGCCATTTGGTCTCGAGCCGGCCTGGCTCAGGACCATGAGTCTGGATGTTGAAGTGTTGATGCAATGGCCGTCACGACATGTGTAGGTAGAGCATCACATACGCACTTCCTCGCGTTTGTGTTCGCATTTCGAGGCATGATGCCCTGCTCAGGGCAGCAGTTCCCCGAGCCGGTGCTCGTTGACCAACCCGTTATAGCACTCCCTGCTGGGCAGTTCCGAGCAGAGAGGTTTCACGTTGGTGACTCGACTTACTTCCGGTTACGCGGCGTGCAGTATGCTCAGCACCCAGAGGGCCCGTTGCGATGGCAGCCACCCGTGCCTCTCTCTGAAAATCGTACAGGTATCGTGGATGCGCTTTCGTTCGGTAAGGATTGCATTCAAGGCAACATCCTCGATCGATATGATGCGGTCGGGCTGCATGAAATTGGTGAGGACTGTCTGTATCTCAACGTGTGGGCTCCTAGAGCATCTGCTCCCCTTCCGGTACTTTTCTGGATTCATGGGGGTTCCTTTACAAACGGTGGTTCTTCGAGGTTCAGTGGCGACGGCATGATGATGCTCCGCCGCGATGCAATCCTTGTAACGTCCAATTACCGGTTAGGCGCCATGGGCTTCCTCGCTGGTGACGCAGTGAAGCGAAGTTCTTCTGATGGCAGTGCCGGGAATTTTGCGCTTCAGGATAATCGTGAGGCCTTGCGCTGGGTGAAAAGAAACATTGCTTCATTAGGTGGTGATCCATCTCGAGTGACGATTTTCGGTCAGAGTTCAGGCGGATCACACGTAACCACGCACATGGTAATGCCCCGAAGTGCTGGCCTTTTCAGTGGGGCGATTGCGCAGTCAGGTGCCTGGGACAACTTCACGGTTCAGGCCGTTGATGCTGCAAACAACAATTTCCACATGTTTGCTCAGCATGCTGGGTGTGGCAAGGCAGGTGATGACGATCAAATCCTTGCATGCTTGAGACGGAAGCCCTTGCGCACGTTATTTGGAGGCGACATTATGTCTGCAATTGCCAATACCAGCAAGGACGCGCTCTTCGGACCCACCGTCGATGGCGTGGAATTAATAGATGTACCCGAAAACCTTGCAGCTCGTGGCTTCATAAACAAGCTGAGTGGCGCTCTTCTGGGGACTGCCCATGATGAGGGGCGCTTCATGCTGCCTCTGACCGAGAGCGTGCCTGGAGGTCCTTTCAGCACAGAGTCTGAATTCCTCGAGTGGCTCAAGAAGTATCGGAGACGCCTCCGGCAATTCACCGCCGCCCCCTGCCTGTTGGAAGCACCCGTGTGGCCGTCTTGGAGGGCATCTCGGGGGCATCGGGCGACGACCTGGGGCGCTTACGGGTCCTTTTTCCGTGCGGGCGCGTTGGGCCGAAGGCTTCTTGGGGAAACTCGCATGAGGACCGAAGCCCTTCTACCGTTTGGCACGCCGCGCACCCCTGCAACAAGCCGCGGGATGCCGCGTACCTGGCGGCCTTCGGCCCATTTTGCCACCGCAATGGAGTTGTGGGCGGGAGGCGCAGCGAGAATCTGGTGGGGAGCACCGTGGCTTCACACGATGCGGGTTCCTTGGGATGCTCCTGGGGATTCCTATGAGGCGTTCTAGAAAGAAACTGCCTCGCCTTCGAGCGTGTAAGGAGTTGGCACCCCTTCCTCCGCGGAAGGCGGCGGAAGGGCGGCGGAAGCCGGTGGAAGTAATATTAAGTCGGGCCTGTCCTCCTACAGGGGTTTTTTCGACGAAAAATTAAAAATACCCCAAACATGTCTCCAAAAGGCAAAAAATATGCAGAAAATAGTCCCCAGACTATTTTTGGACTGTTTTTTTGTTTCTTGGTTGGTGTATTTTTTATTTTTCGTCGGAAATCCCCCTGTAGGGGGACAGGCCCGACTTGAAAAAAGTAATACGGGGGCGCCTCCGCCGGCGGAAGCCGGCACAAGGCCGGCGAAAGCCTCGGCGGTTCAATGATGGTTCTGTTCAACAGGTGAGTTCAGGGTCGCACTTTTCCCGACCAGCTTGCTTTCATTGTACAGCCATGTACTCGTGCTCAGACGTAGTAGTCATGGTTGTTGAAGAGGCTTCTCGCTGGCGAGGTGAGCGTTGCGCGTTGTCCGTGGCCGCAACACCGCAGACTGACGTTCAAGACGCTTTCTCCGAGACTCCTAAGTCCAATGATCATTGGAGGTAGTGCGCGTCTGGGAGGCCAGCGGAGGCTGGTGGAAGTAGAAACGCGTCTCCAAGAGATTACAATGTTTAGGGGCTCAGATGTTCATACTTCCGGGTGTCCGGAACCCGCCATGAAGTCTTTTGATTGCTTCCTGGGAGGATTTTGAAGCCTTTTGCGGGCTTTTTAGAGGCTTCTCGGGAGTCTCTTGGAAACCTGTGGGCCCATATTGTCAGGGGGGCTCCCACAAGACCTCCAAGACAGGTCCAGAAAGGGCCCCTGGACGTTCCAGGCCATGTTGGAAGCTTGGGTTCCCAAGATTGTCCCCGGCGCCACGGAGCGCTCAGTAATCCCGCGAGTTGGAGCTTGTACCCCTAATTGTCTATATAGTTGACGCGGTTCTCAATGCCGAGGGCTATTGAGGACGGACGCGTTCAGTGCCCGCCGCACGGTGGCGGATCTGCAGCCAGAGTTCGTTGAAGAGGCATTCGCGCTCTACCCTGCGAGTGATTACGGCGGCAGCTGGTGGTCCGCCGCTGCTGCCGTCTACACGGATCAGCAGTACACTTGCCCGACAGCCAGGAGCGTAGGTTGGCTCATTCGATCTGGAAGCGTTCCAGCCGACAATGCGTACACGTATCAAGTCGCTTATGCATCTGAGGGCTACAAGGCAAAAGCAATGTGGTTGTATTTCAAGGACTATTGTTTGCCTGGCTTCACTCCTCACGGTGGGCATCTCAATCATGTTCTTTTTCCGTGCCCAGAAATCAGTGTGGATATGGGGGTTGGGCACGGTGCGGAGATCGATTTTTTGTTCCCACACATTGACACCATTAAGCGATACATCGATGACATAACCATGGCCGAATACATGCAAGGATGGTGGCAGAGTTTTGCAACAAGCTACAAACCAACCATTCGATCTGGAACATCTGTGGGAAATACATCTTTGAATTGGAGCCCTTTCGCTGCTGCTAACGAGACTTTCATTCTGACTCCGCGGAACCCAAGAGGAGTCGTCAATATTAGAGATCACTTCTGCGAGTTCTGGGATCGCCAACATCCAATGCCATATGGTACTACGCCTTCGAAACGCGGAGAAGGCACGCAGTTTGTTGTTGTGTAGAGGTGGTAAATTTCTTTGCTGGGCGTCCGATGTGTGCTGGATTGAATCTGGCTGGCTGCATCGAAGTGCTATGCGCCCTTACCCGCGTGCTCATCCTCTGCGGCGGAGCGCGCGCTGAACTGCCTGTCCTTCTCCAAAGAGTGCTTGCACCGAGGGCTTCTTAAATGTTTCGTGTGCTCAGCCTGGGTATTGTTTTTTTTGTGGTGTCCGCCCGGTGAGCGCCCCGTGCGATGGCTGGGCTCTCCGAGTTCTCGCCCGCTGGGCGCCTGTGGCCGCGCTGTGGGCGCCGCCCTGGAGACGCCCGTGGCGCCTCGTGGCCGCCTCGTGCGCGGGCCGGCGTCTCCACCCCTCCGCTCGGCGGGCGCCCGTGGCCGCGCCTCGTCTCTTGCCCGCGGGCGCCTCGTTCGGTGCCCGGCGTGTCCATCGCGCCGCGTGGGATGGCACCGTCCTGCGCAGTCCGGATCTGCAGGAGGAGCTGGACTCGACCCCGCCACCCCCTCCGAGGCTGGGGGTATCGCCCCCCCCCCCCATCCTCGTATTGTGTCATGTCTGCACGCTCTTTCATCCTAGGTCTCAGCGAGCAAGTATCTACAACCCCCTCCATCTACAAAACAAGACTATGCGGTGCACATGGGCTGGTCTAAGAATAGTTGTTATACGAGTCCCCTGCCGCAAATGTGCGGGAGACATGCGCACACAGCCTCGCGCGCACGTTAAAGCATTCAGGAACAAATGATTCTCTCACCATTTCAACGCACAATTGTTTACATGCTGTACACTGTTAGCCAGCGTGGACCTCGAACAGTGTGTTTCTAGCATTAAGTGTTGTGTAATTTATGTTGCGCAATATAGGTGGTTCAATTCATGTGTCGCTCCTTCAGGTCAGGAAGCTTGTGAATGTCATGTGAGATGATATGATATGCTTGACGAGATCATGCGAGACTTTGCGTGGAGTTCTTCGCACAGTTCGTTGAGGTGTGTGCGACTCGCGAAATGAAGGCATTTACGTTTAGAAGCGGCCGTGTTGTCGAAAAAGAACATCCCAGCACCAGTGGTACACGCAAGATGTACAGCAGGTATAATTTTCGTTGAACACATGCAAGTGGATGGGTATAGTCAGGACGAGAAGGAATGCGTTTCGTTGATGTCCACAACCTGGTAAATAATTGGTCAGGTTACACGGTAAGATGAGGTAGTAATACTTTCAGAAGAGGTCGCGAATGCCCGTGTTCGAACCTGCGGCAAAATCGGAGAAGCACGATGATTGGATGATTCCGCCAAATCCCATTTGGTTCTGGTAGAGATCGTGGTGCCACCCCGAGCCATAAACCGTTCAAGCTTGGCCAAGGGTCGAGGGGTGCGCCCCTGTTCGCATGAAGTCGGTGTTCGATCCAGAGACAGTTATAGGATCTCGAAGCCAAGTTCTTCAGGGCAGTGACGTATGCATCGATTGCTGGCCCCGTGCCGCCCGAGGTCCAATCATTGAGGACGCGTGTTGGTTTCCGTTTGCATAATTTGCTGCGGTTTACAGCGATAGTGTGAGCGTGGTGCTTGATGGCATTGAGTCCAGAAAGACAAGAACCGGTCGACGCGTCAGGTGTACGATTATGATAAGTAAGCCTGTGATTCCGATCCACATAACCAGATCTTTACCTACCCCAGAGAGCGCACCACCCCAAAATACAGTTTCGACGAAGGCGTGTCGATGGAAAACGACGAGATTCGTTGAGTGTTGGAGTGTGTTTGTTTTGGTTCCTGCTTCACTGTCCCCACATTGTCTCAAATTCGGTAGGCGGGGTTCGGTTCGCTGGTATCATGAATCAAATGAAGAAACATTGATTTCACAATCTTGAAGTGGTGATCATATGCATTTCCTGCCAAAGCGGTTCGATTCCTGGGGATATGCAAAAGACAGGTGATCAAAAATATGGAAACTTTGCCTAACGGCGAGAGAATACATTCCCTGATTGATGCGTGTCGGTAGTGGGCATGCCGTCGCCTGCGTGGAGGAAAGGTGGGCCCTCCCTCCACACGAACAGGGAGGGGGGTTGTCCGTGGGTAACCAATGCTAGGCACCAGGAAGTGCACGGGTCCGTGAATGGTCGGCTGACGGTTTGGGCCACAGGGTTTTGTAACCACCCTGACAACATGCATTTCGTTGTTAGACGGCGAAGAAGAGTATTGGAACGATCGCCCCCGGGGAGGATTCCCTCAGCGGTGCCCCTCTTGCTGGGGCCCGGCAGGGAGATTATTACCACAAGAAGCCTTAGTTTCCAGGGGGTGTCTGCTGTCTTTGAGATGGCGTTCGAAGGTGCCACAGTATGATTTCGGAGGTTGTGCGGTCGCAGCTCACTGCAGTTTCGCTTGGTCCGTTGGACGAATTCTAGTTGTGCGGATGATCTCGAAGAGTGACAGGCAATTGAGAGAATCTTCGACCGCGATTGCCGCATCTCGTATCCTGGAGGGGCGGCCGATCTTATTAAGCAGGGCCCCGTGGAACAAGACGACGCTTATTTGGTGTGCTGTCTTTGCGGCCAGCTGCGGCTCGGCACCCTTGCGCGCGCGTTGCAACGCATGTGTCACTTGCGCTTTCGTTCCCAGAACCCAGGGTTCAAATTGTGGCGCAGACGTTTCAGGGTTGCGAATGCTCGGCGGCGTCCGGCCTCCTGCGGCTGGGGGAGCTGACGCCGATGCGAGCATGGCGGGCGCGGCCATCTCGGGGGGCCATGCCCAGAAGAAGCAGCACGGGGTGCACAACTGTCGATCGAGAGCGAAAGGATAGAAAAAGGCGACGGACCACCACTGGATGTGGATCATTCCTTCATGGTCGCTCCGCGCGCGGGCCTTGTGGGGGCTGGGAAAGGGTGACCCTGCCACTGCGGCCCGCTGGACGTGGGCCCCAGAGTCCTCGCAGAGCCAAGTTGCGGTTTGCATTTTGCCGATTCGAAAAGGAGTCAGCAGGTTGGTGAAGAGGTTTTAGAGCTACGCCCAGGCTGCGATGCCTGACATCGGAGGTGAGAAAGATATGATTGCGCGGTTCTGGAGCTTTGCTGTATAGCCAACGCGGGCCAGTGTGGCCCCGTTTTCGAACCTTTGGAAGCTTTTGGTCGGGGCTTCGCCAATCAATATCAGGCGGGGCATGCCGAACTTGTGAAGATAGATTGGGGTAAGTGGGCCGCCGTGAATCAAGCTGATCTGACTCTTGACGACGTCCTAAGTTGGCCGCAGAAGCGAAGACGGCCTCATAGGGGTAGATACGCAGCCCACGCTTTCTGGTGATGTGCGAGTCATGGCTGGCCACGTAGAGAAGGGAGTGCGCGGAGCTGCGTAGACCACTGGCAATCGCGTTGAACCGACGAAGTCTGCGCGCGTCGCAGACTGCGGAAGGGTGAGTTTCGCCCCCGCGAACTGGCCCGTGGTTGACTCTGGACATTCCGCATCTGAAAGGGACAGGCCCCCCCCGCGAAGATGAAGTTCATCGCTGAGGATTGTTGCCAGCGGGGGGAAGCCCCAATGCAGTGGAGAGAAGTTCCCGCGTGTTTCTGGCTGACAGCACTGCGCGGTTGCACTTGTTTCATCCGGATAAATACCCCAGGACGAACGAATCTGTGACATTGGGACAATCGCGCCCAGGCAGACAGGACCGAGAATGGTCGTGGTTTCACGCCGACAAAAGTTGGCTTGCGCGGAAGATCGTCAATGCGATCGTGGAGACCTCGAGTGCGCGTTGATCCTGTCGCCATGCGCAATGATGGGCAAGTCGGTCCGGCCTTCCGCGGCTACGTCGCGGCTGCAGGAACGGCGCGATCAGAGATGGGCAAGCGAATGCGATGTTGAAGCGGTCCGCTGACGGGCCCTTGAACCTCTCTCCTGAGGGGAGGCGCGGGGCCATCGGTTCACTTCGCCGCGACTAACTTTGGGCGCCGTCTTTGTGCCCCCGGCGTGGACTGGTTTATTGGCATGGTTGGTTCATCCGAAAATGCTCGCGACAAGATGGGCGAAGTCATTGGCGGGCAGGGGGCGCGTCGCGCCGCGATGGCTACGCTGGCGGCGAAGACGCTCCGTGGAATTGAGCTTCAGCCCTCTGTCGAGCATGCCGCGGCCGCGTCTGCGGCCAGCGGGCCCGATCTGTCTCCGCCCACCCCTGCGGAGGCGGGCATCCAAGGAGCCGGGCATCGGAATGGGCGACGCCCCTGCCCGCGCGGAAACGGCCGAGACTGAAGGTCTGGGGCGCGACGAGGGCAGCGGCGAGGGCCAAGGGTCATGGGGCCCATGCAAAGTCGGCGATCTCTGGGGGGGCGATAAAGTAAGCGTCGCGAAATAGCGAAGAGAAATGGCGCAGTCGAGACTGCGGTGTGACGGCGGCGCTGGCCACGGCGACTGCACTTCGAGTGGGCGTGGTAAGTGCCGCGAAGTTGGCAGCGCTAGTGGCGGTCGCCGGAGCTCCTGTCGCGGTCGGAACGCAGAGGAATGGGCGTGCGAGTCTGGAACGCGGCGGGGCTAGCGCGGCAAGTCGTCGTGGACCTACGACTCCGGGAAGATGCGGGGTAAGGAAGAGAAGTATGGTGGCGGCGGCCGGAGTCAGAAGTGATCGAGGATGTT